CTTAAAAGACATCCCTCGTATCCAGTTTATCGACAGTTTTGAGAAACGGTTAAAAAGGTATTTACGAATGTTACGGGGCAACCGCTGGCTTGAGAAGTTCTTTCGTTTTCGTACTTTGTATTTCTGATCTCTTATTTTTCCTGTTCTGTATAACCTATTCTTATCTCTTTTTTTTCATAAGAGAATCGGCATTACTTTGTATAAACATTGTATTGTGACAATCGGTCCATTTTTAGGCAAACTCGTACTTGTAATCTCTATGATGTTTAGCTTCATAGTACTGAGCAGTTTAAAAAGTCATTTCTTGTATTGCATCTACGTAGTCATGCCATAAGTTCTGTCCCTCGTTTTCAAACAAGTGTAGACCTGTTAATACTTGTCCGATTGTTTACATTGTGGTGTCAGTTGATTAAGCGCTTTTCGGGTAATTACATATACCTCAGTTTGTATTGATCTCTCGAAGCATAACGATGGAGTGGGGCAAGGCAGAGAACCGTATTGCAGTGATAGCTTTACATAAGTGTAATCACAGTGCTAGTCAGATTTTTGAACTCTTACGCGGCCTTCAAATATCGCGTAAATTTGTGTCTAGGACCATTCAGCGGTACAATGAGACGTCCTCTGTTGATGACAGGCCAAGAAGCGGAAGACCTCGTCAAGTAAGGACTCCAGCAGCCATCAAAGCCGTAAAAGCCAGGATTCAAAGGAATCCACTCCGGAAGCAGAAGATCCTATCCAGGGAAATGAAGATTCCTGTCCGGACGATGTCGCGCATCATTAAACAAGACCTAGGGCTAGGGGCTTACCGGAGACGTACGGGCCAGCGACTTACGGCCACCTTGCGACACATCAGGGCGACAAGATCCAAGAAGCTCTTGGAGAGGTACGCAGCTGGGGGATTCCGAAAGATTTTATTCACGGATGAGAAAATCTTCACCATAGAAGAAAAATTCAACCGACAAAATGACAAAGTGTATGCAAGGAGTTCACAGGAAGCTTCGGAGATCATTCCGAGAGTTGAGAGAGGCCACCACCCTGCGTCAGTCATGGTTTGGTGGGGGGGTGTCCTACGAAGGGGTCACTCAGCTCCATTTCTGTAAACAGGGCGTGAAAACAAAAGCGGCAAACTATCAGAGCGACATACTGGATCCTATCGTCAAGCCTTTAAGTGGTACATTGTTTGCCAACCAACACTGGGTCTACCAGCAGGATTCCGCCCCCGCTCACAAGGCTAAGAGTACCCAGCGCTGGCTGGAAAGCAATGTGCCAGAGTTCATTGCTGCGGAAGATTGGCCCTCAGGGAGTCCGGACCTCAATCCTTTAGACTACAAGTTGTGGGACCTGCTAGAGCAGTTGGCCTGCTCCAAAGCCCACCGTAATATCGAGTCCCTGAAAGCGGATTTGATCCGATCAGCGGCAGCTATTCCTTTGGAAGCTGTGCGTGCAGTGATAGATGAGTGGCCCGCGAGATTGAAGCAGTGTGTGAAGGCCAAGGGGGGACATTTTGAATAAAACTGTTTGATTATGAATTCTAAAAATGTTGTCGAATAAATAATATCTTTCATATAAATATATCTTATCTTGTTTCATTTTTATCATGAGATTATCATGGGACAGAACTTATGGCACGACTACGTACACTGTACAACTCATTGCCAGATATAGTCAAACATTCACCCTCACTTAGTAGCTTAGACTACAGTAGTTTTATTTTTATTATGTTAAATAGAAGCACTGAAGATTCAGAACCTCGGCCAACACCTACTCTGCGCAGATCATCTTCAACGATGAGTATCTCAATGAGTTTCGGATGTAAGACTGAAAGCTGACAGCTTTCCGAAAATCGATGAGGCATGCATATACGTCTTTATTTTAATTAAGCATTAACAAACGAATGATTCATATGAAGGGTAAATATACTCGTACGAAAAATAGCTAATAATAATATTCTACAAAGCTTTCCAGTATTTCTGTTGTGAGAACGCCAGGTGAAACTGCGAGCTGTGTTGCTAAATTAGTTGGATTGGTATAGGGAACATATTTATTCAGAGCATTCATTTTGTTAACTTATTTTTATTGCAATGCAGTTAAAATGTCATGGTGGCATTTTTTATGAATCTGCGCTCGGAAATTCCAATTATATCAAATCAGATCAAGACGAGGGATTCGATTTAATGGATACAATTATTTCATTCATCATTAGTCCAATATCGAGTAGATCCCATCTATTTTCCGCCAGAATCGTAAGCCTTTAGCGGTCACAGTGGTCCTGGGCAACCAAACGCGAACTGAGATCTTTACAGTTCCAACCACCTTCGCAGTGGTCAAATCTGGTAATAGATGGCACTTGGCGCTGTGTTATGTCGATAGAATAAACTTATATTTTATAAAGTGATGCGAATCTTGTGGCTCTCACCCATTAATTTTTTTTGCCTATTATATTTTCACAGTCAGAGCAGTCTTGAGATATTAAACAAGGTGTCCTCAAACTTGGGACTTTCCTTTAGAGAGCGTATGTTAGGCAATAATAAGTTTTTTATGCCAAAGCTTTAAGATAATCAAGATATCAGGCTCCAAAAAGCACTGCCAGCCTCCTCTCTCACAATCTTCTCCTACGTCAAAACGTGTGATGTACTAAGAGCGTGAGTTAGTATACAAATCAGGTGTCGCGTGGTGTCTAGGTTAACCTAGCTTATAAACAAACCGCATTTGAAAATCCTAAAATGGCACATTCCTAGAGCATTAAGGTAGTTGTCGATTTGATATGAGCATCTTCAAGTTACTATTGATACTCCACGAGTGTACTCAGGACGTCGCCGTTGACCTCGATGTTTCCTTCCATCAGAGCAGCAGATGTTCATTTATATAGTACAAAAGCCGTCTGGTTGAACACAGTTGAAGGCCTAGACAGCCCCAAATGTAGCAAATTTAGGAAGAGGTAAACAAACGAGTTGACGTATGTCAGGGCGGTCAGGCTCAGTAAAAATGCTTTACCAAATGAATAGTGAGTATTTTTCTTTATTTTTTTACATTCTAGGTGTTGTTTTGTCAGAAATGCGCTTTGGTGTCGTATTTGGATTCAGAAATATTGGCATCATTCACCTCATCGTCAACATTACTAAGCGACTCGAATATGGCATCTCATGACGCACCTAAGCTACTAGGCTACTGTTAAAGGAATGGAGGCGCATATTATGGAACTTATACAATATATCACAGTAAAGTACTCATTCGGCACTTTATGTCAACGTATCCAATTAAGTCAACCCTTCCATTAAATGATCCTGAATAGGCACACATGGTGTTTTCAGCTGCTGGCAGGGCCAACTAGATTCGCTAAAAGAGAAAGGAGCGATCGTTCGCGCGATGGGTGTGTTACATGGGACTATACGGGGTGATTCAAAAACACCGGAAATATTATTGAGCAGCTATTGCTCAGCATAGCATATATGACTGATTTTATACACATGCAGACCAATACACCCAATCATCCAGATGTGATCTTACTCAACAAAATATCCCAGAGTATATTCTACAGACTATCTCGGCATTCTGCAACCAACAAAGCACCATGGCAGAATGGTCATCGAGCGTGACGTGTCGTTGAGTCATTCCTCCATAGATAGACGCTGACGGCGGTCATAGCGAGCAAATGGGGCAAGTACTATTTGCACACCCGGAACTATCTAGGCAGTAGGTTGACATTTTGTCGATTTTTGGGGTTCTTAGGTTCTTTACGTAATAACACTACAGTACGGTAGTGACATCAGAGTATTGGATCGCGCATACGCCCTACGTACCAGTTAGTACATATATAATAGATTTCGGCATATATTTGATGTTAAAACTTAGAGGATCATCAAACGACCGTCTCTCGCTTAGGTCGCTATTCGTACCCGAAATTTCACCCCCACACTGCTCGAGTTGGCCAGCACATCATGCCTGACGTTACCAGATGGTCAATACATTCAGTAAGGGCAGGAGAGAAATTTCTAGACCGCAACATTGTCAAATGAGCTTGTTTGGCTCACTTGATCCATTCATATCTTTTTTGTGTTATACGTTACAGGAGGTAGCCGAATTTGTTTCTTATAAGAATAATCCATTATAAATCGATGACAGTGCTGCGTGGTCCAGAGTCAACCTACCTTTTTGCCTTTTTTTGAATCACCCTGTGTGCGCAATGGGCGTATTGCATGGGATTATATGAAAGTATTTCATTAAGTCGGGTTCGAATCACGCCCTCCTTTGATTTGCAGTCTGCCGGTCCGATAGCTAAGATAATTTACAGGGTTTTTTGTTCGCTGGGGGCACTTCAAAGAAGGGCGCACAATGGTACCCGCACGTGTCAGGTCGCGCCAATTAAATGTTTTTTTGGTTGAGGAAGGATGACATGGATGAAAAAGGTTGTGTTACTTCCTATGCAGACTGATACATACTGAGGTTTGAATCTACATATGTTGACATAGGGTTTAAAGTTACATACCTACTACCATAACAGGGTTTCCAAAATTCTGCAATTTAGATGATCTTTGATGATGTCAATTGAGGCTAAGTTCAAATGGCGCGCGCCCCATGCTGACGCTAGCTTTGAAAATAGACGAAATCAGTTGTTTAAACATCTTATTATCAATTGCTTTTATAAGGCCTCATTATCATACCGCCAAAACAGAAGAGTGGCTTCACAGAAGCAGAACTTGACAAACAGGTGTTTTTAAATTTTTTTTCCATTGTTGGCTAAACATTGTCAAGAGGAAGGGGAGGCTTCCGGCAATATCAGCTGCAAAACAAAGCTGGACGAGTGTATGGTGGTTCTCCGCAATGCCTTTCCACGCCGATGATTAAAATCCCATAAGTAAATGGACGGGGTAGCACTCAAACTAAAATATCTAAACGCAAAGTATAGTATGAAGGGGTACTACTCCAAAAACTGCTGTTCTGCACCTAATATTCCAGAATCTGGAGGTTAAACAAATGGTGCTCACACCACAATCTGATGAGGAAAATGACTGACACGAAACACCTAACTTTATAAAGGAAGGTTCAACGAGTGGCCTTGAAGATGATATGTTCGATAGGAAACCAAATAACGGAGAAAAACCACAGAGTTTTTTTTTCAGCACAATACTGAATCACTGATGAAGGAAGATGTAATATGTGTGAAATTATACAATCAATAAACTATGAAATTTCCCAAAAGAGAATCATAGAAAAGGTTTGGCCTAGTAATGGGCACTTTATAATCAATAAAGAGAAACTCAAATCACTGGTAAGTGATCAAAATAGTAAAAAAGGTTACGTGATTTTGGCACGTGACAACATTTAATCTCTTCAAGCTACTATATTTATTATCTCGACATTACAGTGTTTCAAGTTAGCGATGCTGCCAGTAAACCCTTTCTTTTCACTAGTTGCTATAGACGAGTCAGAGTCCTCTAATAATATCTAAAAAGATTTGTCTTTTGACTTTTTTGATATTCCCTCCAATACTGTCGCCGAGTTTTGTTTCCCAGATCGATAAATTTTCGGTGTTCCAGTCAGGATAAGTCCTTTTAGATATTTTTTAGATTTAACTATTACCAAATTTTACGAAATACTGAGATAACAAATTAAAGGTATCTTCATACAAGATACAAAATTAATTTAAAAAAAATATCTTAGATACAAGAATAAAATACGTATTTCTACAAAAATACTTTTTTTTAAATGAAAATTCAGTAATTCAGGCATAAGACTGTAAGACAGGAGCTCTTTTTGCTGGACATCAGCAAAACTTCTGGTCCAGACTTGATTACTGCCGTTGTAATGAACAGGGGTGCAGCGAAACTTGCTCTAGCTCTTTCTCGTCTCTTCCAGATATTTTATCGGCACCTTTCCAGAAAACTGGAAATTTCCTCATATCCAATCTATCCCAAAAAAGGATCTAAGACCGATCGTCATGGTTTGATTAGCAAGAGGCAGTATGGTTTCCGATACCAGCGATCCAAAGGGGACCTCCTAGCTTATGTCACGCAATTGTGGAGTAGACTCATCCAGTCTTACGGTGAGGCTCTTGATATCAGGAAAGAGTTCGATCAGCTGCCTTCTCATGCAAACTGCCATCCTATGCCCTTCCAGAAGCTTTGCAGATGGGTGACTGACTTTCTCTCTGGCTGCAAGATATCTGTCGTAATTGACGTCAACGCGGGTGTTCCCCAGGGATTCAAATTCAAATTCCTTTATTAGTTCTATATAAGTATAGAGTATAAGCATCCTCTAAGGTGCTTTTTGAAGAGCATACCATTATCTATTTGTCTAAGAGATTCTGGAAAATTATTGTATATTCGTTATGCTTACCTAAGCAAAACTGGTTCTTATTCCTCGTATTATAATCATGAAAATGTGAGTTTTTTTGGAAAGAGCATTTGTTTTTATGAGTATAGGATAGTAGTTTTAGCAAATAAATTGAGGAGACGGTCAAAAGTTGATATTTCTTAAAATAGTCCCTACAGGACGCCTTGAACGATAAATTGAACATGTTTCTAATGACTCTTTTTTGAGTGATGAAGGCTCTCTGGATAGATGAGGCCTGTCCCCAGACAACAATCTTATATGACAGGACCGAGTATACAAACGCATAGTAGACACGAATTAAGGTTTCACGACTTACACAATTTTTTAGACTATTTATGACGAAAGCACCTCTATTTAACTTTTTGCAAACTCTGTGGATATGGGTTTCCAAGTTTAGGTGGGAATTCACCACTAAGCCCAAAAAATTTGTAGACAAAGAGAGCTCGATGTTGTGGTAATTAAGGGACAAGTTAACATTACACGATTGCTTCTTCATAGATCTTATACTCATAGCTACAGTTTTAGCATGATTAATCGTGGGATTGTTTAGATTACACCAGTTAACAAACTCTTGGAGCACTGTATTCTCCTTCAGTTGCAGTTAATTTTTAATTTTTTTACCGACGTCTTCTTTACAAATCAAATGCCTTTGCTTAACGACTTCGTCATTGTAGTTATTCTTTATCCAATTCAGTCTTTCGAGGTTATTTATTTATATTGTAAGTTCGTCAGAAAGACACATTTTTTCCTTGCTTTTTTGTTTCTGGATAATCGGGGAAAGCATATTTGAAAACAGTAACAGAAAGAATCTAAAAATCTATCAAATTCAATATTAACGGTCAGATCGTTAGGTCCACCATACTCCCTAAAAAACCTGAAACAGAATTCTTCAATATTTGACTGATTAAAGGGACTGATTTGAATAGTATTTACAATTTTTTTATGTGCTTCGAGTTGTGCTAAATTAACATCAAATTGCTGAGCACAGTGATCCGAGAAGGCCAAACCAAAGTTCTGATCATCTACTAAGCAGGGTTGGTTAGTTACTACATAGTCAAGCGTAGCAGTAAGCCTAGTCGGTTCATTTATTAAAGATGTCACATTAAAGCTTTCCAACAAATCACTTAACAAACTGAATGATATATTTTTTTGTTTAGCGTTGATATTCAAATCTCCGCGTAGTACAACGAAACTAAAATTTGTCGTTGCCGTTGATTGAGGAGATTTATAAAAGGTTCAATATTACCTGCAGGAGGTCTATACAGGGTGTTTCAGTTTATTGTTGCATAACTTTAAGATTCGATAGAACTTTTAACATTAATGCATAAAGTCTATATAAACATGGGTCGAAAAATGCGTGGCTTCCGAAATACAGTGGGTTTAAATTTACTTTCTAAAATAGTTTTTTTAAATATTTCGAACAATATTTGATGTATAACAGTGAAAATTGGTATACAAGGGTTTTTTGGTACGACAAAACGAATAGTTTTACTGTAGCCGCTAGAGGGCGTTCTCTACTGTACCTGTAGTGTATTAAAATGACCGAAAAATTTTTCTTAGTGCAATTTTATGCTTTTTGAATAAAAAAACTGATTCTTCGCACTTTTCAACATAAAAAAGCTCTCCTGTGAGTTTTCGTTATAGTTAGCCGTTTTTGAGATATTGCGATTTTTAAGGTTCGATGCATTTTTAATTATGGGAAAATAATATTTTTTTTTACATTTTCGATTTGGGCATTACAAGTAATTAAGATGATCGTTTAGATTGTGTTCTTAAACACAGCAATAATGCCTAACTCCAAATAAACACAAAAAAACAGAATATTAATTATTTTAATTTTCCAATATTATTTTTAACAAATTAAATTCACAACTAAAATGCTATTGGATAGTTAGGACAAACATACAAAATCTAAAGTAGTTGCTCGAAATGTAAACCCAATTGTTCAATACACAATTCACATCTACGAATGATCGAACGTGGTATAGCATTATTCAAATAAGGCCTTATTTCATCACATGGATTCCTGATTCTGTC